TCCCCAAAGCCCCAGTAGATAGTTGTATATCATAGTTGCACATCCTTCTAGTTGCTGTATGTGGGACACTGCCTCAGCATGGCCCAACAAGTGGTGCGTAGGTGCGCGCCTGGGATCCAAACCCCGGGCTGCCAGTAGCGGAGCGTGCTCACTTAACTGCTAAGCCATGGGGCCGGTCCCCCATTTTTATTTTTATATGAGTACTTTTGTATTATTGTAGACCTGTGGCATGCATGGAGGAATATGTCTAGAGATCTTCTCCAAACCCAAATTTAAGAATTGAGAAATGTTTGTATTTGGAGTTGCCTTTCTTACAAATATCCTATCCAGAGTATGATATTCCATATACATGTGAAAACTACAGCACAGTTTTTCAAGTTTCACCAAAGTATCCTCTCTCCTTTTTGCCATTTTCCAAGGGGACATATGACTTATCACTTCACTCCCAGAGTTACTGCCCAGCAAAGCCGCCTGGGGGGCTGGTGCCAGGCTCCTGGAGGCACCACTGTGTCAAGGGATTCAGGCAGTTTCGCTTTCATGGATCTTTCCATTTGGTCGTACACAGTCACAACGTCTTTGAAGTGCACTGGGACCAGGGTGTCTGCTGCATTTGGTTCTTGTACTTTCCGTTTGTATGTTTTTCAGAATTATCATAAATGCACATATAATTTTATATCCGTGTCGTTACTTACTACTAAGTTATACCTATTTTTGCTCATTGCTATATAGCTTCAAGCTGACTGCTTTTCACACTGCATTCTAGGATGAATATCCTAACCATTCCCTTACTTGGGGCCTTTTAGGTTGCTTCCGGTTTTTCCCTACTATACACAATGCTGTGTTAACTTTCAGGCCTTTTCTGTATTGGAGGTTACTTCCTATATTTTCTGTAGATTTTGAAAAAAGGTGGAATTAGGGGTGTGAGGTTGAGATCTAGTGCTGGTTTGCTCTACCAGCTGCAGAGTAGTCCCTTTTCTCTTCTCTTCTTTTTGCTGCTGTTCTTGGGTTAGTCTCCAGTGCTGTCTTCTCTTGTGCCACTTTTCTATCTGTCACTTGTTCCCTCTGTGCCTCTCAGCTGCAGCTTGGAGATTCTACACTTTTACAAACTTCACTAGGCAATTGGAGAGTTCCTTTCCTTCCATGTAGCATATAGGAAGCTGCAGGAAACCAGCTAGTTCTAATGGTCCAGGGCAGGCTTCTAGTCTTCAGCTCTCAGCTGTATTACACCCTTGTTGAGGGCAGGGCTGCTACTTTTTGTCTGAAATGCTGTCCTTTTTATTCTTCAGACAATTTCCTTAAGCTCAGTCTCTGAACTGCTTTTAAACAGCACATATGTGCTCTCAAAAACCTAAAATTATCATTTAGATAAATTGTTCTTAAGCATACGTCAGAATTTATTGGTAGCGAGGGAATTAGCAGGTGAAAAAAGTGTGCTGTTACAGAAGGTATGAAAATAGAAGAGTTATATAGTTGGGAAACAGAATACTACATAAGCAGCTAGTTTAAAAACTAAATATATAGACAGTTTCACAAAGTTGTAAAAATGTGTCCATATCAGTTATTAAAACAGAAGTCTGTGACAGGATGATCTGAGATGCCAGGTGAGCCAGCTGTCAACAGAAAAAAAAAATGAAGCAGTGGTGTAGATACTGAGCAGCAGTACAGTGGGGCCTGTACCATGACAGCATGAGAGGGCCAGCAGAAATTCACAGAGCACCAACCAATGAGTTGTTCTAGTTTTACTGTCTACTTCGTGATTTTTCTCAAGCTACAAACAAAGATACAGAATACAGCTTTCCCATTTCTTAGTTTGGGGACATTACTTTCCTGCGATAATGCTAATACAGATGGATTGGAGAAACCACAGTCTATGGCCACAAGGTGATGACATGATCATAGCCAGGTGGGGCTAGCCAGAAATGACTTCTTGATAGGAGGTTTGTTTAGTTTGAAAGCCAAGGGGTTAGTTGTGATTCAGATCAGCTGCAAATAACAGAGAAACCCCTCCTACATAACAGTGGCTTAATCAAGATAAGTTTATTTCTTGCTTAGTAAAAATGTCTGGGAGAATTGGCATTCCAGGGCTGGTTGGGCATCTCTAAGAGCATTGAACTTAACAGGAGTTCCTGTTACTTAGGAAGAAGGGAGAATGGACACAGAGGCATCTAACAGTCGTCAACGCTAATTTGCTCTCTTGTTTTTTTATCTCAGATTTAGAGAAATAGCGGGATCCTTAGAAGCAGCGCTTACAGATATACTGCATGATGCTCCAGGTAACTTCCTTAAAGTGATAAATGAGAAGATGTCACTAAATGAGTTAATTAAGCTCACCAAGTCATCTAGACCTTAATACCCCTAGGGTACTTTCACCTTTTCCTATCATACAGTAAGTTATACCTTAAAGACTTAGTTTAACTTCTTTTTTTTTAAAGAGGCAAAAAGAAATTAAACTTTTGGTTTATAGAGCTTCTTGTTTTGTAGAGATGATAAAAAGGATGATTTAAGAATATAGGAAGCAGACCTCATTTTCGTTCCTGAATATAACATATCAAGTGGATATAGCCCGTGGTGTGCTGAAGGGATCAACCCTTTTTATAGCAAACTGGCTATGATTGGCTTTCCTCCCAGGCTGAGGTAAAGGGTCAGGATGGCCCTTCTCTCCCAGGGGATGACTTATAGCTGAGGCTCATGCCCCAGGCCTCCCTAGCCCTTGGCCCCAGTCCTGGGACACTGGGCAGATGACAGTGGTCAGTATGCAGACTTTGCAGACATGTTTGCATTCCTCACAGCCTCATTAAGCTTGTGTTATGTTGTAGTCATTCCCAAAGGCCACTCACATAATATATGGCTATTTCTATAGCCACATAGGTCTCTAGGCTGCTGCACTTAAATTTCTGTTTCCTTACATGCAGCTAAGTCAATCTGAACCACACTATTTTAGCCTCAAAGTTAAGTTTTCATTTATCTTTGCCAAAAATGGTCATATGTAATTGACTTCCTAGATATAAATAGTATGTTCAGGTAGGGGAAGAGAAGTGAAACAGGACAAATTCAAAACTAAAGTTTAAACTCTTGCAAGTGACTGCCATTCTGGCTTGTCTTTGTTGACTTGGCATAAGGTACTTATTAACAAATTATTTCTGAATGCTATATATGTTTAATATTTATCAAATGCCTGGGAGGTGGAATCATGTAAAATTAGAAAATCCCTTTGCCGTGAGAGATGCTGTGGTAACGTGGGTGATGGCCGCTTGGTCATTCATGTTGCCTCCACCTGCAGCTTTGCTGACCACATAATAGCTCTTCAGACTGCCACTTTCTTCACTCTCAAGTTATATATTGAAAATATGACATTTTAGCCCTTGATTGACTAAGAGTCCTTAAATGTATGTTTTTTCTCTAGCTGGAAGTTCGTATTGCCTCTTGGCTTCTCATAGAACATGGAGCAGTCTTCAGAGGTGTTGGTCAGACGAGCTGTTCTTGCCGTCGCTGACGCATCGTCTGTGGAGACTCACACTGCAGATTTTAGCCCGGTACTCCGTGTTTGTCAACGAGGTGAGTGCTGGCTCGTCTGTAATCAAGACTGATAAGACCTAAAGATACATTAAGATAAATCCGCTAAGATTTTAAAAGGCCGTGTTGTCACAAGAGGTGAATTCAGCGGACAGCAGTAGGCTAACTTCTCCAGTTTGTCTCTAGCTCTGTTTGTGTTTCCTTCTTACTCTGGCAAGTGTTGCCTTTAGGGGTGGTTCTTATCGCATATTCAGTGCTTTGTCTTGTTGAAAAGCACCACGCTGACAGACGCGCTCTTCTTCCCTTCTCAAAACCAGCATCTTGGAGGTGCCTTCAAATTAAAACAAAGATGCTCATTTTAATGAAAATAATTAGAAATAAAAACAAACATATGTTAATAGTTAATATTTAGAAGTTTAAAAAATCATATGATCATCGAGATTAAAAGTTAGTAAAATTAATCTTTCCTTCATTTCAGAATATCCTACTTTTTCCGTTTTCAAATAGTTGAATATATTAAATGTCCACGTGCCTGTGAAGATTATTAGATATTATGCATAAAGCCACAGGAGTGTTTGTACAGTTCAGTGCTGAGCACCCAGGCTCCACCAGGTCCTGTGTCAGCGTCTTGGTCTCAGAGATGTCCTGCCTTCATGGACAGTCTCAAGTGACAGACAGACATGCACCCTGGTCATTGCAATGTGCTGAGTATGAAAATGAGATCTATGTGTAAGTTCTAAGAAAGACAACATGATGATATCATCCATTGAAAGGAATACAATCTTTGTTAACTGGAGTAGGGGGAACCGGTTGTCTTCTTGCAGAGTGTTTTAATGGAAAGAGCACAGGCTTTGAGTCAGACAAAATCAAACCTTGGCTCTGTCAGTTTTTGATTTGGGGAAATTAGCTCTATGAATCTCAGATTCATCATCTGTGAAGTAGGAAAACAGCTTCTGTACCTGGTTGTCATGAGAAGTAAAGAGAAATTTGTTGACTCACAAACTGTTGACAGAAGTGCCTGGCAGATAATGGGAGCTCAGTGGGAGTTAATTTCCTCCTTCGCTTTTTCCTTCCCTCTGCTCGGAAGGGTGTTAGCAGAGCACCCTGGTCCATCCAGCCGTTTCTGAAGACCACTGTGCGATTCCTGGGACACAGTGGTGTTGGTATGATTCTTGTTAGGCTTGAGCCTGCTAAGTCATACGTTCTTGCTAGCCAGGAATTCTTTTTCTTCTATGTCTAATAAATTATTTTGCCTTGAATGGTCATTATTCCATTCTTTTCTTGATGCTAGTGTACTTCTCTTTGGTTTTTCCCTTGTAACAATACATTATGCAAATAATACTTTTGTTGTTTCTATTATTTGAAGCGTAATGTGGTTCGGATTTTGATTTTTTTTATCCTTATTAATTATTACGTTAATTAAGTCAATCCAGTAAATTATTTACCTAATATAGTTAATTAATTTTTAAAAATCTGTGGTGTTCCAAAAATTAGTTTTCCTTTGGTTTATGGACCTGTTATTTTGTTTACCTGTTACTTTTTATCACCAGAAATTAGGTGTGAATTCAAGGAGGGTAAATGTACATGGGGTTGTAGTTTGTTTCGATTTCTCTCAGTTCTTCACACCTGCCTGGAGAGAGATGCTACTGTATTCTTTCTTTAGTAAACATAAACTGAATACTTTGTGCAGCTAGCATTTAATCGTGAGTTGGTGACCCACATGTATAAATGCTCATGTATCTTGCTAGTGGAAAAGTATTTAATCATTGAAATCCTGTCTCAGCTTTTACTCAGGCCCATCTCTAATGAAAGCGTCAAGGATATTAAAAAGCCTTTGGTAACTGGTAACAAAGACCCTTCCATTGCACAAGGAAACAATGAAGACCAAGGAAGTGGTCCTCCTGAAACAAAGCCTGTAGTTTCCATTTCCAGTACTCAACTTGTGTATGTGGTTGCAGACCTGGACAAGCTTCAGGAGCAGGTAAGCCTGTGTCTTAGAAGACTTCTAAGACTTCTAAGTTCAGTGTTTTCACAGAAAGTAGTATGTGCAAAGACATGACACCATCTGGCTTCATGGGGCTTAGAATTGTGGGGCCCAAGGGAACAAGGTGAACATCTTGGTGTCTCTCCAACTTTCCCTGACAGCTGTGCTCTCTCCCTCCTTGCTTACCAGTCTAGTCTAGTATTGTGTTAACCTGGGGCCTCTGTTTCTATTTCAGTAGTGATGTTACAAGCTCAGAGCAAGCCATGCTCCACTTTTTTTCATTAGCTCAACTTATTCTGTGCAGGCACCATCTCTAATGAGTTGGATTTTAGTTATTTCTAATTCACTTACCCAAATGTTTGGTAACATTTTATTTTCAGCTATACTTTGAAAGTGCTAAACTGTTAAAACTTCCTCTATTTTCTCTGTATAGGTCCCATGTTTTTGCTTTTACCATTAAGAGAACTTGATAGGATAAATTTGTGTTTAAGTGCTCTGATACATAATTCTGCTTTCCTCAAATCTAAATATTTTCTGGTGCTTGGACAAATAACGTACGTTTTGAGCAAGAATACAGTCTTTATCATGAGCTTTTTTGGTGCTGAGAAAAGCCACAGAATAGAAAATGATTTTATGTATTCTCTGGGCCTGTTAATAGCCATGAAACTGCTGTTTCCCATGTTGTTGGATTCTTGTATAGTGAAAGCATTAAGAATTTTGCTTTCTTCTCATGAAAATTGCTGAAAGTCCTGAGTTTAGTTTTATCATTCATTAACAGTATTCTAGAGTTTTAGATGCAAATAGAATTGCCTCTTCCTTTGGTTTATAAAAAGTGACTGAATATATAAAGTGCATGTTTATTTCAGCTTCCAGAACTCTTGGAAACAATCAAGCCAAAACTTGAAACGATTGGCTTTAAGAATTTTTCTTCCATCTCAGGTAAAAACGAATCTTTAGACTCAGCAAATCTTTGAATAAGAAATAATTTAAAATAAAATTTTAGAGACTGTAGGATATATGTAAACTACCATTTTCTTCTCTAATTGTAAATCCTTGGTTGTTTCTGTATTCTGTTCTGTGATTATAACTTCCCTAAATGAGGTATTTTGTTTACTTTTCTTAATTTGATTTGATTAGTTGTAGTATGCTATCTAAATACTATGACAGTAGTTAAGATAAAATTCACATCTGGGCCTAAACAGTGATTCAGCACAACCTTCCTGTCTCAGCAGCAGCCCTGGAGGACTCCCAGCTGTCTCTGTCAGCCTGTCTGCCTTCCTTGAGCAACAGGATCGTCCAGGACCTGAGTGAGTCTTGCTTCAGTTACCTGAAAAGTGCCCTGGAAATTCCTCGGCTTTACAGAAGAACCAATAAGGTCAGCATCATTCACTGGAAAGAATTTTAGGGTGGGGAAATATATTTTAGGAAAGCGAAAGAGGGATGAGGTGATTGAGTGAGAGACAGAAATAGGTTCCCAGGGGTCGCCTGAGGCAGACTTCATCTGTCCCAGTCAGATCGACTGTATCTGTGAGAGGGCACTGCACAGTGGGTGGTCAGACTTCTCTTAGACTGTGGCACTTGGGCAGGATGAACTTTTTCTGGACTCTTTTGACCTTAAGGAAAGACAGTATTTTCAAAAGAAAGTAGTTTAACAAAATATTTGTAAGTCCTGTACTTTGTCTTCAGATCTTGTATTTGAAAAAATCTGAATTTATTTTGATCCCGTCATATTGTCATTGGAAGTACCTGCTTTCTCCTGTTCTTTTACTGGATAAGATTTGAAAGGCTGCATTAAGAAATATTAAATCCATTTATAAGATGAAAAATTGTGCGAACACTGGTTTAAAGTCAAATTCTCTTGTTTGCTCATTTTATGGAATGGTGATTTGGGGAATTTGTTTTTACCAGTGTTTCAGTTTTCCCTGCTGAACTCTCATTTTCATGCGTTTATGCTTATTTCATTCTTGTTAGATCTCACTTAATTTTCTTTTTCCCGGGTGTAGAGTTGGATTTTAGGCAGTTTACTACCGAAATTATTCTCAGGAACTGTGAAACTCTCCTAAGACATTGTGCTGTTTTGGAATATCCCTGGGGTTCCTACAAACACACCTGGTTTAGGGCCAGACTCTTTGTTGAGTGCTAAGTGTGGCGGCCTTGTCTGCTGTTTGCATTAATCTTCCCGTCCGAAGCGGTGTTCTGGATGCAGTGAGTGGCTTGTCACTGCTGAACTAGGATTGAGCTAATCTCCTCTATGGCTGCTCTCCTTTTCCTTTTAAAATGTGGGACATGTGATAGAATTACCAGTTCTAGCAAAAATACCTTGTCACCTAATTTTCTCTTTCTGGTCTGACTTGAAGCTCCCACTTGGAAGTGGGAAAGAGAGACCTATTTTATATTGCCGAATACATTATTTTTCTTTTAGTAATCTACCAACTTTCCCTTTCTATTCAATAGGATGTTATATTTACTGAGTGCTTGCATTTTGGATCAGACACTGTGCTAAAAACCTTACGTACACTCTCATTAGTCCTCCTACAAAGTGGGTGCTAGTGTCCTTTATTTATAAATGAAGAAACCAAAATTAAGAAAAGTGAAGTTACTCACCAGAGATCCTTGCTTCTCAAATGGTGGTCTGTTGACCAGCAGGATTAGCATCATCTGGTGGGAACTTTTTAGAAATGCACAATCTCAAAACTCAGCCCCCTACCCCTACCCCTACCCCTCCCCAGCCCTCCCCCATATACACACATCACATCAGAGCCAGAATTTAATGAGGTCACCCTGTGATTAGCATGGATGTGAAATTACGGGAAGCAGCGCCTTAGGTAGCTAGCTGTTGGTGCTGGCCCAGCATCTGAATCCACTTGGGCTCCCAACATCTTCCCTTGCCTACTCTTCTTGACTCTCTCCTGTTCTCCAGGTGCCTTTCTGTAGACAATATTATTGTTACTTTTTGGGAGGGATGGAGGTGGTACATGTCTTAAAACTGGTACGTGGGTAGTATCCTTTTGAACTTGAAGTTTAAGTAGCTTGCTGTCTTTTATTTTTTTTCTGTGCATCTATAACCCCTACCAACATTATTCCAGGAGGTGCCATCTACAGCTTCCTCTTATGTGGACAGTGCTCTGAGGCCATTTTACCAGCTTCAGAGTGGGCACAAGGATAAGCTCAAACAGCCCAGAATTCAGCAGTGGTTAGAAGGTGCGCTCTCTGAGAGCACTCATAAGTAAGTAACTTAAATGTAGATACTCCAGACTTTCTTAGAAAAGCCTTGAGTCAGAGACCACTAAGACCATCACAGGTTGCTTGTAGATAGGGTAGTAAGAACATCAAATCGTTTTGTTGCTGGACAAGTAAGGGTGTAGGTGCTCAGTCCCTTCCTGTCTATGTTGACAGTGAGCTGTGCTTGCTGTACTCGCCTGCCCAAGGCTTTGAGCCGCCTGCCTCTGGCTAGCTGGGGCTCACGCTGGCCCTGGCATCTCCCAGGCTGTGTACCTTCTGGGGGTCCAGGCACATTCCATGCTCCCCCTGGGCATGCCTGCCTTTTACTACCCTTAATGCCATTTCATGCAGGTATCATTGTACAAGTCCAGGCACATTGTTTCCTTTAGATTTTTTCTCTCCTCAGCTTTCTCAGTCCAAAATGACTCTGATAGTGCTGGATAACCAAAGGACTTAACATTGATGAGACCATTGTAATCAAGGAAGAGAAAAGCTATTTTGAAGTGTAATTACAACTCATAAAGGATTGGTGTTTAAAACCCTAAAATCCTTGAAAATAGAGGAGATCTTCAGAATCACTGTGGTTGAATGTCTCCATTTCTAATTAAATCTACTTTGCCCAAGTGCCAGCTTGAGTTATGTCAGAAAGTTTACTATTCAATTTTATTCTTGAATTTTGTTTAATTATCAATTTTGCAGTAGTATTTTATTTATTTCAATAACTTATGACGTAAGTGCATTTGTGGGTTAATTTAGAACATAACAATGAATAATAATATTGTTTTTGTGGGCAAATGTATTCCAAATGCCAAGTAACCATCTTACAAACAAAGTTTTGAGAAGTAACTCATTTGTAATTTGGAATATAATTATAATATTAATATAATATATAATTGTAATATTTTGAAGGCAGTTTTATTTAAAATTTTGAAGTGCTTTTACTCTTTAAAAGATGAACTGTTCCTAGAACTAATTGTAAATGAATTTGTTACTTGCATTTGGGGAATGAGCTATAGATGTTCACCCTTGATAGAGGAAAAACAATTTGGCCTATGATTTTCTTAGTGTTTAGGACTAAAATTTTAAACAAAATCCATGTACCTATTTCTTAAGTTCTGAGAGAATAGAGTGCTAGAGGATCAAGACCCTATTTATCTTTCAATTTTAAGAAACATTAAATATTTACCATGGTTGATTTTTTTTTTTTTTTTTTTTCTATTAGAAATCAATTTTTGTCTTAAAAAATCTTTTTTGGTACACAAAGCCAGTTAGTCTATTTGGTGTTGTATACAAATGAGTCTATTTCACCAGTAAATGTGTTTTGTGCTTAAGGTACTATGAAACTGTGTCAGATGTCCTGAACTCTGTGAAGAAAATGGAGGAGAGCCTGAAAAGGCTAAAACAAGCCAGAAAAACCACTCCTGCCAACCCCGTTGGTTCCAGTGGTGGCGGCATGAGTGATGACGACAAAATCAGGCTGCAGTTGGCCTTGGATGTTGAATACTTAGGAGAGCAGGTAACCCATGAACTGTCATCAGTTCCAGCGAGTCTGAAACCGCATTCTGAGGGCTCAGCAGTCTCCTGGTGGTTCATGTGAGCCAGAAATGCTGCTGGGGGGCTAGGGAGTACATTCCCCGGGTGCTCGAAAAAAGAGCCAGGGCCTCAAAATACTTTCAAAGGTCAGAGATTTGCATCTAGGAATTATGAGAAAGAAAAGATAGAAGAATACTGAAAATTGACTTGTTGAACCTTGATGAATTGATCTCTGGTGCAGTTGACATTGGCTTGGTTCACTGGCACACATGTTCACAAAGCCCACTGGAGTATGAGCTCACAGAGATGGTGTCTTTTTGGTCCACTCCCTGGAGAGTGCCTGATGTGTAATCAGTGCCAAATCAGGGTCTTTTGAAATATTTGTTAGTTTGGCTTAGAATAATTAGCAAAGCATTAGCCCACCGATTTCTCACTGTGGTACTTGAGAAATCATCGGAACACAACTTTTTTGCTTCTCTGCCTGGGTTTTGTAGGTTTTCTGTAAAACGTAGATGTTAGAGTCATGAGGTGGATGAATATCAGTGTAAATGAATGTACTTAGGAGGCAGATAGGAATTACATGCAAGGCCTTTCATTCTCACTGAGGTGACTTTCTTGAGTATCATAAAACTGTAAGATGTTCAGAAACTGGCTTTCTAAAGTGTTTAGATTTACTATATAGCAGTAGATCCTCAAGGAAGACCTTTTTGCTAAGAAAAAGAAGTGAAATTGTAAAATTTCCATTAGAAGATGCTTGGCTTTCTAGCCCCCTAAGGACTCTCTTTTACACATCAGGATCATCACTGAAAATCAAAATTTTTCTGCTTTGAGGTGAATTTAGAGATATATCCTGGCAAAAGTCCATTGCCTGTTTCTTTAATTCACAAGAGAAACTTAAAAACTTTTTACAAGCAAGAAAGTTTGTTATAGATCATGAAGAGCAAATAAGCAAAAGAAAGAGGGAGGGATGGGAGGGAAGATGGGGAAAAGGAAAAGACAAGACCCTCCTCCATCCCAGTCCGCAGAATGAACCACAGCACACTAGCAAATACTAAATATTTGGTGTAGACTTTTCCAGATCTTCCTGTGTGTGCGTGTGTATGTGTGCATATGTGTGTGTGCATGTGTTGTTGTTAAACAAAAGAGGGAACCTGGTGTGCTATGTCTCAATTGCCAAAATAATCCACGGTAGTTGCTAAGCCAAAGTGTTTTCAGTTCGTCAAATTCTCAGAAAAGATTGTGGATGACATGTTAAGAAATTAAGAGCTCAGAACAATCCTTTTTTGAAAATTCTTCACTTAAAAAAATAGCTCACTTTATTATTTCTTCTAGTGTGAATTTTCTTTTCCAGTCCACAAAAGAGGCTCTTATCCTGGTAAGAACCTGATTTCATGGACTGAGATAAATTAACATATTAGCTTCTCAGAATGCCAAGTGTTTGGCCCCAAAATTAAAGTTTTACAATAAATAAATCCTTGGCTCTAAAGAAAAAATGTTCAACCAGTCTTTAGGGAACTTTTTCTGATTTAGTAGAAGGTGGGGATGGATATTTTGTTTTTTTTTATAAGGGTATTTTTTTCCACATTCAGCTTAAATTGTAGTAACTTAGTTCATTCTCATGGCCTTTGCAGATACAAAAGATGGGGCTCCAAACAAAGGACATAAAAAGTTTTGCAGCTCTCATGGAGCTTGTTGTCACCGCCAAGGACCAGGCAACAGCAGAACAGCCTTAAGTATCTGGGACAAGCCCGAGGGGAGAGGAAAGTTGGACTGGGGCCCAGAGGGAAGAAAGTGGCTCTGTTCTCTTACCGGCCTCTGCAGCAAAGTGCTTCCACTCATCTCCAGCAACATGCCAATGCAGCTCTCTCAGCATATTTGGGTCTTCTCTCACCCAAAAGAACACAAAAGCCTTTTTCCATTGTATGGAAGATAGTTTTTAAGACATTTGAAACTTTCTACTATAGTTTACAGAGCAAATTTTTTATTTTTACTGTAAATCTTAGGAAGAGCTGATTTCTAAAATATGATTAGAGTAAATCTATAGGTATGAATATAAAAAGTTGTCTTCCTGGTCCTGCAGTTGGAGGCAACTAACTGCAGTGGAGAGACCATATTGTGTGGAAACACCCTTCTCTGAGGTGAAATAACTGTACGTTTATTGACTTTCTGAAAGAGGCTGTAAAGTGGTGGTTCTCCATTCTTCACGAGGTATTTAAGAACAGTGCTTCTGATCTTGCTCATCACTCAGACCTCTGTCAGGAACTAGAACCAGTAGGGAAGATTTATTTCCTAAATAAAGAAGTGTCTGCCAAGAGCATGTGTACCTTTTATTTGTGAATTCAGCACAAGTTAGATACTCCTTGTTTGTGCCCTGTGATGACACACATTTCCTTTTGGGTAGTGCCTCTCTTTCACACCTCCTGGAAGGGCCCTGTCTGTCATGGAACCTGCCTTTAGATGCGTGGGAGTTCTGTTCCATGGGAGGATAACAAATGCACCGTCCCATAGAAGTCAGCAGGCCCACCCTTCTTGGCAAGTTAATCCTGGAGGTAGGGAGGAGAAAGAGTTGAGAGTATTGGAAAGAGGTATTAAAAGCATGTAGTTGGTTCGTTAAGTCGCATACTTGCACATGCATGTAGAGCACTTGTGCTTAGCTGTGGCATCTGCCCTTTCAGCTTAACAGTGATACCAACGCAGCTGTGCTTATTCCTCTAGCTTTGCATTTCTTTACATCACAGTCTCCTCTTTGTTTAAAGGTTAGCTATAGAGGGGCCGGCCCCGTGGCTTAGTTGTTAAGTGCTTGCGCTCCGCTCCGCTACTGACAGCCCGGGTTCAGATCCCGGGCGCGCACGGACACACCGCTTCTCCGGCCATGCTGAGGCCGCGTCCCACATACAGCAACTAGAAGGATGTGCAACTACGACATACAACTATCTACTGGAGCTTCTCCGGCCATGCTGAGGCCACGTCCCACATACAGCAACTAGAAGGATGTGCAACTATGACATACAACTATCTACTGGGGCTTTGGGGAGAAAAGGGGGGAAAAATGGAGGAGGATTGGCAATAGATGTTAGCTCAGGGCCGATCTTCCTCACCAAAAAAAAAAGGTTAGCTATAGGGGGAGAAAGGAAAAGCATAAATGATAGGCAGTTAAGAAAGCAGATCTGGGAGTCAGTAGGAATGATTTTTTTTAGCATGGTGATGAGGTGCAAAGCTAGAGAAATAAGAGGGAGCATGAAAGGAATCCCAGCAAAAGCATCAAGAGCAGCAGCGTGTGGGCACGAGGAGCTCCCGCACATCCTCCCAGCTCTCACAGCTGTGAGGTAGTTCCCACTCTGTGTGCAGGTGATGGACCCCCAGAGGGGAGCACTCTGGGCCTTTCTCTGCTCCCTACGGAGAGCATATGCTCTGGTCTTAGCAGTGCAGTCCCTGCTTCTGGATGGATAAGTGTCTCACTCTGCAGTTTAATATTAGGAAGTTGGTCAGAGAAACAACCACGTGAGCGAAACAGCAGAAGGCATTTATTGCACGGGTTTGACCTCACTCAGCTGTGGGAGCTGGCTCACCAGTCTGCACAAGTCTGTTGCTACTTTGTATGCTGCTGGACCTGTAGGCAGCAGGGGGCAGTTGGAAGGAAAGATGGATGTGAAATGGGAGAGAGCAAGGGTGAACTGGAACCAGTGGGGATAAACTGGTACCCACAGGGACAGCATGGAACCTGCACCTGTCTCTTGCTGCCTCCGGGCTCCCGAGTGTAGTGATGGAGTGACCTGCAGAAGAAGTTGTGCTTTCTTGAAGCTGCACATGCTTGGCCCAGGGTTTGAGGAAGCTGAAGGAAGAGATCCAGTGGGGGCTAGTGCCTCATGCCAGTCGGTGAGCCTCCTGCTCAGCATGACGTGCATGAGCTGCAGCAGTGCCTGGCCCTGCACTGGACTGCTGGGCCCAAACATGCTGCATGGCTCCACCTTCTGGATCATGCAGAGATTCTCCCGTGGCCAACTCAGACCTTCACCATACCTGGAAGGGAGTTTGGGGAAGCATAGTCCCAGCCTTGCCTGGTTGACCCAGCACAAGTCTACCTCAGTAACCACATGGCTGAGCTACTCCCTCCAGCCAGCCTTAGTCAATGAAAGACTCAAAATTTTGTCCCCATATGGCTGGCTGCTTTGCCTCTCGTTTGTTTCAAAATGTGGTTGGGGAGGGATAAAATGTATTAGCCTCCTCCAACTCCAGCACTGTTATTCCCATTTTGCAGATGAGGAAACTGAGACAGAAATTAAGGAGTTGAGATAACTGATAAGTGGAATTTAAACCCAGGTAAGATAGTTCCAGAGCCCAGTTTATTCACTGCTAGGTAATTCTCCCTCCCTAATCTGAGCATTGGAACAGAGAAGGTAAGAATCCAGAATAGGAACCCAAGTTGTCAATTTCTTCAACACCTGTCAAGCCCCAGGCTCGGTCTTGATTCAATAACATCATGTTTCCCAGCTTGATTCACAATAGCAACATCCTTGATGTCATAATATCTATTTTTAGGCTTAAGAAACAAGAATCTTTAGGTAAAAAGCAAAGAGTTCCAGAACACTCATCCCTTGCTTCCGCAGAACGTCTCCTTGATTTAATATGTATTTTATCAGTTAGCTTTGCTTTGGAGGATCATTAATGAATAAAGTTGAAGTAATATTTTTTTACTGTAAAACTATATTTTTTACTTTGTAACATATAGAATGAAAAAGGGGTCTCAAGCACAAGAGAGGTGTATTCCTTGCCAACGTCATCTAACCGTGCTTGGGAGGCAGTGAAGGGGTCGGTAGGGGTGCTCTGTGCAGTCACTCAAGGACGCAGGCTAACTGCAAGTCTGCCATCTCCATCCTGAGGCCTCTGTGTTCACCCTGGGGGTGACTTCCTATGTTAGTTTCCTAGGGCTGTTGTAACAAATTACCACAAATGTGGTGGCTGCAAACAACAGAATTTTATTCTGTCACACTTCTGGAGGCAGAAGTCCAAAATCGAGGTCGGCAGGGCCCTGCTTCCTCTGAGGGCCCTAGGGGAGAGTCCTTCCTTGCCTTTCCCAGCTTCTCATGGCTCGAGGTGTTCCTTGGCTTAAGTTAGTGCGACTCTAGTCTCTGCCTCCATCTTCACATGGCTTTCTCCTCTCCTCTGTGTTTTCTGTCTCTTAGAAGAACACATGTCGTTGGATTTAGGTCCCACCTGGTTAACCCAGAATGATCTCAGCTTGAGATGCCTAATTTAATTTGCAAAGATCCTTTTTCCAAATAAGGTCACCTGCACAGGTTCCGGGGGTTAGGATGTGGACGTATCTTTTTGGGGGCCACCATTCAGTCTACTCCCCCTCAGCTGCAGCCAACCAGAAGGGGAAAAGAGCATGAAGGGCACCCCAGGGAGTGGTTGTGGGAGCGCACCACACTTCCACACACTCTGGTGTCCGGGGCTCAGCCACACAGGCTAGGAACTAGTCTAGCTGTGTGTCCAGGAAGAAGAGAAGAAAATGGATTATGGAGCTTCTTTAGATACACACCTCAATCTCCTATTGGGGGCCTGGATCAGTAATTCCTTGCAGCTCCCTAGAACTACTTTATGGAGTTGCCCATGTGAGAACCGCACAGTCACAAAACCTGCTTATGGAAAGGCTGCTCTGTGTCTTAATGCCTCTCCTGGTGGGATGAAAGCAGGGCACCTCAGGAGCTCTAATGCTCATTTCCTTTGGTTGCTAGATGTTGCCCTGCTTTAAGGACGGCAGCAGCTCTGGTTAGTGCTAATAATTGGCGCTAGCATAACCACATCATTGAGAATGCATAGACCTTCGTGCTTATGTTGATGTTTCAGAACTCAAGAACAGTGATAAACGCCAGATTCTTAAGCAACATCAGTTAGGGGTTCTTATTTGAAGGCACTGTTTATTTTCTCTGTTCATGGCATCTTAATACACATGAGAGATCTTGCCTAATCAGCAACCAAACATTCCAGTCGAAGGTTTCCCAATTTGTGAAAAAGCAGACATTTCCCAGTTGGCAGTCCTCTCTCTCCTCATAATACCTCAATTTCAGCAGCTGTAAAGGAAACGCTGTCTCTCATTTGAGACGTGCAAACATTTCTGGCACTCCCCGGGTCTCAGTTGCCCTTAAAAGACCCTGCCTCTCTTGATTGGCCACTAAGCGTCACGTTGGATGGCAGTAAAAATTTGTCAGTACCAAGTGAAAGAAGTGGTACCTTCATTTGACTTTAAAAATACCTTCATGTTCCACTTAGTTTCAATTAGTTTTCACTTTCAGATTGAATTTCAGAACAATCAATCAGGAGTCTCATCTTTTCTTAGCTCTTGTTAATGTTGAACCAAAATGTATTATTAATCTTTGAGATCGCATTTTGATTGTTACAGTTTCTGTGTAATCCAGCTTGATGGAGTAATGAGGACCTGATTTACATACTCCCACCTGAAACAGCTAAAAATCGAGACAAACGCATGAAGCAACACTGTTCAGACACTGTTCAGACGTTGGATGACACAAGTGCAGGGTCCCAGAGAGAAGGGAAACGAGAAAGGTGAGTCGTGTGATCACCCAGCGTCCTGCGTGGACAGTGTCCGGGCCTCAGCACAGGAGGCCCTGGAGCCTGGCCACCTCCCTGAGTTGAGACAGTTTAGAGCCCAGGAGGAGGAGGAGGCTAGAACTTGGGGGTCAGAGTAATAGAGTAGGGATCTGTCGGGGGGGGGGGTCTCTTGATTTATGATCAGCTGCCCTGTGAGGAGGCTATCAAGGCCAGGAGAGGATTTCTTGAAAGGAGCAGGTGGAACAATCCTCAGAGCTCAAAAAGCCCAGAAATCATGTATGTTCCTGCCAGCCAGAATGGAAAGACTCTCACATGGGCCACAAGAAGAATCCTCTGAAGGATGTGTCCTCAGGAGTGGCACCATATTAGCCTAGACCAAAGGTTGGTTTGGACCTACCCAACAAAACTTAAAAGCCTCAGAGGATCAAACTCTTTGCAGGTAACACCACAGAAGAATGAGGTAACTTGAATGCAGGGATGTGGGCTATGAGACCCCCACTCCCTTGAAGTGTTAGAGCCACTAACGTTCAACATGCAGTGTTTGTGAGTCTCTCATAGTCACCCAGAACATCTCTGCTCATTCTGCAACTTTAAAAACTACATGGGGAAACTTGTGTCCACACAAAGACCTGCACACAGATGTTTATAGCAGCTTTATTCATCATTGCCAAAAATTGAAAGCAATCAAGATGTCCTTCACCAGGTGAATTGATAAACTGCAGTACATCCAGACAACGGAATACTATTCAGCACTAAAAAGAAATGAGCTATCAAGGCATGAAAAGACATGGAGGAACCTTAAATGCATATTACTAAGTGAAAGAAGCCAGTCTGAAAGGCTACATGCTGTATGATTCCAACAATATGACATTCTGGAAAAGGCAAAACTATGGCGACAGTAAAAAAGATCAGTGGCCAGGTGCTGGGGTGAATGAACAGGCAGAGCACAGAGGATTTTAGGGCAGTGAAAATACTCTGTATGACACTATAATGGTGGATACGTGTCATTATACATTTGTCCAAACCTATGCAGTGTACAACACTAGATTGAGCCTAACATGGACTATGGACTCTAGGTGATAATGATGTGTCAGCGTAGGTTCATGGACTGTAACAAATGTAACACTCTGGTGGGGGATGTTGGTCATGGGGACTCTGTGCTTGTGTGAGTTTTATGGGAACTCTGTACTGTCTGCTCAATTTTGCTGTGAACCTAAAACTGCTCTAAAAAAAATTGCCTATTAGGAAAAAACAAATCATATGGGATGATATTCAAATCCACAATCTACTGTCCAAAACCATCAGTACATGTTTCAGTGACAAGAATTTTTCAGATTTTAGAAAGGTAATGTGGTTTCTTTGGGTAATGTCATGTGACATCCCCAGGGGCTCTGGAACAGCACCTGCTGACCAAACACATACATCTCTGCAGCAAATTGAGGACTATTCACACTACAAACTTCTATAATGCAAAGATCTTAGCCTCACGTCTGTTTAGGTTGGGTTTTGCTGCCAAATCTTTCTGTTTTCTAAACTCAGTAAAAGACTTGGAATTTGATGAATTTCCTCGGTGGGCCGTGGGAAGCATCCCTGGGCCATCATCGCTTCAGGTCTCACGCCCAAATCTCCAGTTGAAGGTGATTGTAATTGCTGAATAATTACCTTGTCTACTGGATAAGCACTTTGCAACTCCAGGAAGATTTAGAATTTAGTGCAGAAGTGCTTAAGAGGAACAAACCCCTAGAGTTAATATTTTTGTGTTAAGTAATCTGCAAGATGTTGGTATTTTGTATCCTTGTAACGTCCTGACCCAACTTCCTATTTATAAAAGAGCGGAGAACAGAGCACAGCGGTCGGTTGGCAACGTTCTACTCCTAGCAACTGCCAAAGATGAAACAGACTGCTAACGAGCAGAAATCCACTAGTTTACTGCCAGTTGCTTTTTACAATAAAGTTAACAATACAAACATTCTGTTCTTCTAGCTGCAGCGTGGCAGGTCTGTCTCACGTCATTACCGGTAACTTTAAAACCCTGGTTTACGATTCAGGATGACGTCACCGGTGGTGACTCGGCTCCCTGCTGGGTCCCCGCACCCAGCACAGAGCCAGGCACTCTGGTGGCCTCTCATCATTATTTGTCACAAGAAGGTAGGTATATGCTGGGGGCTGGAGGAGTGGCTCTGAATCCAGTAATCAACACACATTTACGCCGTTGTCCGTTTGCAGCTCTTTTAGGGATTACAGAAGAAACCGCCACTGTTGTAGCTCTGATCTGAAGACGTGTCATCCCCCTAAGAGCGTCAATTCAGGGGGTAGAGTCTGACTGGTTGTGGCCACAGCCCCTTCTAGAAGCCTGTGCTGGGAGCAGAGATTCTGTGTGCCTTTTAAAGCAGTGCTTCCTAAATTCTAGTGTGCACACCTGGGCCTCCTGTAAAAATGCAGGTTCTGACTCAGGAGATCTGGGGGAGGCCTGAGGTTCTGCGTTTCTAATATCCCTCCAGGGCGGCTGCTGCTGCAGGCCCAGGGGCCACGCTGAGTAGTGAGACTTCAAACTCCCTGACCTTCCAGTTCTCCCAAGAGACTTGGCGTCCAGTAGCCATTTCCAAAAGACCAAACTGGAGAGCAGAAGTGCGCCAGTATCTACCCAACGCTGCCGTCTGTGGGTAGAAGGAAGCAGGGAGTGCGGGTGGTGAAAGGTGAGCCCAAGTACAGCAGGTGATGGTGAAGAGTGACGAAGGGACCCCAGGGATGGCTGCAGTGGACAGAGGCCCCACGGCCCGTGAACAGCGGGCTCTGGTCAGCACTTACAGTTCGCTAACACGCTGCGGCAGGGAACAAGGCCCGATGCAGCCTCCGCAGAGTAGCAGAGCAAAGCGCGGGTGCTGCGCGGTGTTTCTCCCGTCAGGAGCCATGGCTCGAGCGGCCATGCTGTGAGGTCGGGGGTTTATGAGGAATGTGCACCCCTTGCTAAAGCTCATTTGCTCTCTAGAAGGAGGCGACAGGCCACATGAATTAGAGTTGAAAAGCATCCGTCCGTATCCACGAGACGTGTGTCTGGGGGCTCCCTGTGCGGCTCAGAAAGCAAGGCTGATTTGGGGAAGGGGAGAGGAAGATGACCGAGAACTGAAAGGATCCTCAGCAGACAACTTCACCTTCAGCTTTAAAGGCAGGGATGGGTGCTGCCTGTATACCAAGGGGGCTGCAAACTTGAGGTCCTTCCCAGAAACCTCCCCTGGGACATTTCACCTCCTCTGCTCCCCAGGCGCCAGCCCGGTCCTTGGATGGTCAAGGATCCTCTTTAATGGATAAGGGGGAGCACTGGCCCCTGAAGAAGACACCAAAGGAAAGTTGTTTCAGAAGAGCCTGGAAGGTGCAGGGAGCAGCCTTTGAAGGACCCCCAAAGATGCCATTAGGAGATGTATCTGAGGGTGTGTGTCAAGGTTGCTGTATGACTTGCCTTTTGCTGCTGTAACAAATTACCACAAACTTAGTGGCTTAAAACACAAATTTATTCTCTTACAGTTCTAAGGCCAGAAGTCAAAGATGGATTGCACTGGGCCAAAATCAAGGTGTTGGTGGGCAATTTCCAACCTTGCCTTTTCCACCTTCTGGGGGCTGTCCTCATTCCTTGGCCTGTGGCCCCATACCACATTGCCTTTCTCCTCCTTGGTCTCCCAGTCTCCCTCTGCCTCCCTCGCATAAGGATGCATGTGACTGCACTAAGGACCCACCCAGATAATCCAGGGCCATCTCCTCATGTCAAGATCTTGAATCACATCTGCAAAGCCCGCTTTGACATCTAAGGTCATATACACAGGTTCCAGGGATTAGAACCTGGGTATCTTTGGGGGCCGTTCTTCAGCCTACCACAGTTGCCCACAGGTAAAATACCTCCATTCCTGCTGCACCGTTATGGAACAGGACTTCCAGACAGGGTGGAGGTCGTGACCTTTTTATGGACTGAGTGCCATTGACAGAATCGTGTTTATTATTCATTTATTCATTCAAGCACTTCCCATTTTACACAGAAGAGAAAGGAGGCCCAGAGAGGTGAAGTGACTTGCTCCAGGTCCCACAGTAGTAAGTGTTGGAGCTGGGCTTCCTGCCCAGCCTATCCATCTCTAGAACTCACACTCCTACGCACCCGTCACGCTGCCTCTCATGTGCCTGGCACAGCCACAGAGGTGGGAGGGACCACCTGTTCCCCTTGACGTTCAACCTAGGGAGATGCACTCCAGACTAGAGAGGGGTGCTTGGGAATGTGGGGGGGAGAAACTGAGATTTGGAGGATGTCATTGCTCTTCTGTGTAGGCCTGGGCCTCAGTCAGAGGAGCAGACCCCACCACCCACCCTCAGCATACTCTGGTCAGCTTCAGCCCCTTGGATCATGGCTAGGATGGCCCAGTAGAGGGGAGGGCGAGGCCTGAGCACCAGTGGGCAGGGCAGTCACCATACAAGCAGAACACAGACACTTCTGCTTATGCCAATGAAACTCCATGCAGGAAAGAACTTGGTCAACTTTGAAGCCATCCATCCCCACTCCCACCCCTCGACGCTTCCTAGCTCCCTTCCCTGTTAGGCTGTGCTTCTGAGCTCTTATCAATAGCTACCATATTACATAGTTATTAAGATTACGGTTATTGCAATATTTGTGGAAGAGATGAAGAGAAAATGCTTTATGTACATCAGCAAGCATCTTCACTGTTATCAGCGAGCAATGGGGCCTGCCAGTACCCGCCTCCTCCTCAGGCTTTGCTCAAGGTTTAGAAGGTGGGGATCTAATCCCACCAAGGGGGAACAGGCAGAGGCACTCAACAGATGGCAAGAAGTGTGCAAATGTTCATTTGTGAAGATTTCTGTCTCTGTCTTCCATCCCTGCGCACAATGTGAGCAGCAATCTGACCCTGTGTCCCCGGAAAGAAAGAAGTGTCCATCTGCCTTGTTTGTTCTTTCCCAGCTGCGTGTGGGGTGCAGGGCCTCCCCATGCACCTGCCTGTCCATCACACAGTCAGTAACTGCTGCTTAAAAATAGAAGTGTCCAGAGAAAAGCATCACCTAAAACATCTCCAAATGACGGCTAAGTACCAGCCCGCACCTTCCATGGAAATGCCGTCCAAAATATGGCTCAAAGTCCTAGAAAGCACTTGTATTTGTACGGTCTGTCAGCTAAATGGCATATTTGTTCTGCTGCTACGTGAAAGAATTTTTCTTTTTTGCTTGTTGTTGTAAGACATTTATTAATAACACAAGGGATAATCAGACATGATAATATGTTCTTACATTCAGATGCTTGTGTTTTTTGTAATGTGTTTTTCAAAAATTACAAGTATCGTGGGAAATAAAAACAGAAACCAAGAAAAACTAAGGCATCGTGGAGACTGCATGCAGGTCATAGGCTCACATTCAATAAGCTAAATGTAAACCCAGGACAATGAAATATGTATTTTAATTTTAAAGTCCAATTCGTGTTCCCAATTAAAAAGGAAACAATGTTTGGTTTCACAAATACATTGGTCTGTGCAAACTCTTTCCGGAACAGTCATCTTGTGCCAAACACTGGCTCTTGGCTCCCGCCACATCCCCCAAGATAAACCTAAGAACCCAGGAGGGCTGCTTCTTCCTGTAGGTTCTGCTGCCCATTATACACAGTGCCACGTTTACCAAGGATAAACGGCTTCTTTCCAGCTCCAAGATGACTCATTGGAAGAAAAAGTGGAAGACTGGCGGTGACAAATTAGTGTTGCTGTGCACTGCTGCCCTCGCACAGTGACAGCTGCATCTCCGTGGCGGCTGGGCCTCATACCATGCTCAGTGGGTTGGCCACACGGCCCAGGAAGTGGAGGGCAGTAGAGTCTCGCTCGTAGACAGCAAACAGGAATGGACGGTTCAGGGTCACCTCCAAGACCTCTGGCTGCTGGGCAGACTCTATGGGCTGCTCTCCTTCTGCTTTTAGTTCAAAAAGAATGCTATTCAGGACCTGCAAGACAGCAAGCATTGGGATCGCTCCTGGAGGCTCAGGGGGCCCAGGGAGGGTTCAGGACAGCTGTGCAGTGCCACCCACAGGAGGACGTTTCTCCAGCCTACTGGGTGACACGTGGTGCATGCATGCCCCTCGGTGTAGACAACTCTCACTCACGTGACGGTTCCTCCTTAAAGGGTCCCTCAAACCCACCTATTCCCACCTTCCACCTGGCTGTCTGGGGCAGAATCCCTGGCCCCTCCACTGTGGCCCACCAGTGGTTGGTTCATTCTACTAATTTAGCACAGAGGGCTCATGCCTCCCCCGACAGTGATCTTTGAGGCCACGACTGTAAGTGACCCCTTTTTATCCCCAGCGCCTAGCACAGTGCCCAGAACATCCAGGCACCTTCTCAGTTGCAGAGATGCATCGTTCCATGTGGCAGGGGGACAGTCTGCCTACTTCTGAGTGTTTTCCTAAAGCAAGGAGCTGTCTGACAGGGCCAGCACTGGGCCTGGGGGTACTTACTCTTAGGGCCCCTAGTCCTGATCCTGCTGTAGGATCTGGGGGGAACCCAAGCCTAGGCCAGGCTGGGCAGAGCCACAGAACGCTTGGTGGGGAGGGGTTTGCTACTCTCCACCTGTCCCTGGAAAGCCCCAGAAAACTCTGGTCACTTTTCTCCCACCCTGGGCATTCACCAACCTGGCCATGCTCTCCTCTTCCTCCTACCCTGCCCCCCACAAAGAGTCCTCTGTGTCCCTCCCATTACACCTCCCATGTGTGAACACACAGAACCCAAGTCAGGTACAGATAGACACGGCCGCACAGTACCTTTCCGACTCTGACATTGGCATCACTGATTTTGCCCAGGTTTGCTTCGGCGCCCAGCAGGGTGGGCAGCTTGACCTGGGCGAGCAGGTCCTGCAGGTCGTAGGACCCTCGCAGCGCCAGCTGGGGCACGGTCAGGCGGGTGGCCCTGGGGAGATGAGGCACAGTTAGGAAGGGGCTTCCACTGTGAGGCCCAGGGCCACACGGAGAGGACTCGCTGAAGACCCAGCCAGCCAGATGGCATATGTCCCTGAAGAAGGGGACGTGTGCCTTCCTCACCCTGCTAGATTGTCTTGGGAAAATTTTCGGGGACAAATACAATAAAAAAACCTTCATGTCCTTTGAAATACTGTGAGAAGGACATACAACTTGTAACACCAGTGCTCTCTGGGTGGTTGACTATGAATAGTTGTCTGTTCTTTGTTCTAGTCTGTTTTTAGGCTGCATTGAAGAGGTATTACTTGGATAATTTAAAAATGCTATTCTCTAAAATAATGCACTGTGTCTTACCAGTACCTTTTAGTGGTATTCTTGACAGAGAGACCCCATGGAAGGGAGAGAGGTGGGAAGAAAGTAAAACGCCAGCCTCTGTGCCCTGTGTGTTACTTACGTCAACTCAACTGAACTTCATGTAGAACCTCTGCCTTCCTTTGGCATCCTTGAGAGCACACGGATGTTTCTAGTGACACAATAAACCCTTACAAGAGTTGACAGTCCACCCATGTCCATAGGAGCATTATTCACAATAGCCAAAAGGTAGACGTGACCCAAGAGTCCATTGATGATGAGTGGATAAGCAAAATGTGGTATATTTATAGAATGGAACAGTATTCAGCCTTAAAAAGGAAGGAAATTCTGACACACGCTACAATATGTGTGAACCTTGAGGACATTATGCTAAGTGAAATAAGCCAGTCACAAAAGGACAAACACTGTATGATTCCACTTGTAGGAAGTACATAGAGTTGTTCAATTCATAGAGGCAGAAAGTAGAATGGTAGTTACTAGTGGCTCAGAGGAAGAGGCAATGGGGAGTTACTGTATAATAAGGGACAGAGTTTCAGTTGGGGAACATGAAAAGGTTCTGGAGATGGATGGTGGTGATGGTTGCACAGCAATGTGAATGTTCGTAATGCCACAGAGCTGTACGCTTAAAAACGGTTTAAAACAGTAAATTTTATGTTACGTGTTTGCGACAATTAAAAAAAATTGACTTAAAAAAAAAGTTGACCTCAGGAGGCAACTTGTGCCCCTTAGTGCCTGTCTCAGGGCAGATTTCTGGACCCTACTGCTCAGGGCCTGGTATGTAGGCCAAGTCTAGTGCCCCATGCTGGGAAGAGGAGCAAAGGAACCTGGCAGCAAACCAGGGGAGTTCTGGAGTCCAGGGCTGCTCCCCAAGAAAGTCCTGCCCCAAGTCTCTCGGAGGGGTCCACACACTCCTGGGAAGTCAGTTCTAAGAAGCTCTTAGAATGTAGCAGATTGTGCATGTGTGGGGGGTGTGGTCACAAAGGTCCCCCTCTGGAGGGCATCTTGACATGCTCTGACTGGTGGGTAAGCACAAGGAAAGCAATCTTCCTCCTCTCCGTTACCTCTCCTGCATCCAGAATGAGAGATGATAAACCGAGAGCTAGATGGATGGAGAGATGGTGGGCTGGAGGCACAGGCCTTCTGCTCTGGAACAGCAGGGGCCGCCCGGCTCGCCAGCGCCACCGCGGCCCTTCCCTGCCCATGTCCAGGGCTTGGCCAACACAGGCACATGCGTCCACCCTACGCCCCCTCCCGCTCTGGGCAGAAGGATCAGCACAGCTCCCCACTTTGCTGGGGGGAGCAGCCCTGGAGGTTCTGAGCGGTTCCCTGGGAGCCGTACCGGGGAGACAGATTCTTCATCCACGTCAGGAAGTCGTGCTGGAAGGTGAGGGCCTCGACCTTGCGCAGGTCTGAGGCGCCGTGGGGCTGGATCAGCAGCAGACAGGCGTTCTCGCTGAGGGGCACACCGGTCATGGAGAGGTTGTTCTGGGCATCGCTCCAGTGCTGGAAGGTACCCGTGCCCGAGAGCATGGGGACCAACACTGAGGTGGTGTTATCCACCCAGAACTCTTGCAGCCCCGGCAGCAGGGAGAATCCCTTCATCTTTCCTGGAGACCCAGACAGGAGACAGGGAGGGAAGAGTCAGCCGGGGCTGGGCAGGCAGGTAGGCGGACGCAGGGCCGGGGATGCCTGCTGAGCAGAGTGCAGACCCCCCGAAGCCTCACCCCTGCCCTGCCCTCCTCCCAGCACACCCCAGGCTGCCCCGCATTTTCCCGGCCCCAGCACTTCACCAGCTCCAGGACCCTGAGCGCTGGGCAAGTCTTTCTCCCGCAAATCCAGCCATTTTGAGTTCACAAGGTGACAGTAACTGCCAGTGTTGAGGACATAATCCATGCCGGGCAGCAACCTGAGATCTTACATCTGTCATCTCACTTAAGGCGCATGAAGGAAACCAGAGAGCTTCAGGACACTACCCCACTAGGAACTGACCTGGTGAACTCACCCCAGACCTGTCCTGGCCCAAGGCCATGTCCTGGTTGGCCACCCTCACTTTTTTTAAAAAATAAACTTTATTTTTTAGAGGAGTTTTAGGTTCACAGCAAAATTAAGAGGAAGGTGCAGAGAGTTCCCATAGACACGCTACCCCGCCCACACACACACAGCCTCCCCCACTATCAACATCCCCACCCATTGGTGCATTTGTTACAGTCAATGAACCTACACTGATACATCATTATCACCCAGAGTCCAGAGTTTACATTAGGATTCACTCTAGTGTTGTACATTCTGTGGGTTTGGACAAATGTACAGTGACGTGTATCCACCATTACAGTATCACACGGAAGAGTTTCACTGCCCTAAAACTCCTTGGTGCATGCTCACTTTTCAATCTGCCAACAGCGCCAGCTGTGACAGAGCCTGCGGGCTGTCCTCCAGTCTCCATCATCCCTTTCTCAGTCAGTCAGAGAATGCAGAGCTGGGCACACACCTCCTGGAAGGAAGGCTACATTTCTCAGGACCCCTTGCTGCTAAGGACAGACATACGACCTAGTTGTAACCAGTGGATGTGGGCAGAAGTGCTCTGTGTGACCTCCCGTGCTGGGCCTTGAGGGGAGGGGCGCCCGCTCCGTGCCCTCCACCAGCTGGCTGTGGCAGGTGGTTGCAGAGTTGAGCTGCCAGTTGGCTCAGCTGTCGGGGAGAAGTAAGCAAACTCTTGTTGAAGGCACAGTCACCTGGGGTCTCCCCATGACAGTAGCCAAACCTCTGTCCTGACGGTCACACTGGCACATCCTCTCCCTCTGCAGTCCTCCCACTGACCTTGAAAGGCCCGTCTTATGGTTGTCTCTGGGAGAATAAGGTGAAGTTGAGGATGAGTCCCTGGCACTTGGCGCTTGGGAGTCTGAATAGAGGCCGCTTAAAGAGAGTCCGGGCTCCCTTTCTACTGAATCAGAGGTCTCCAAAGTGCAAGTGGACAGGGAACTGGAAGGACAGAACCCTGGAGGGAGGGAGCTGGACTGGCTTTGCCTCCCCAGGGTCTGGGTCTTGTGAGAAGCGAGTGGCAGACCCAGCGTCTTCCTTGCCCTTTATACCCAGAGAGCTTTGGCGGTGGACAAGACCAGCTCCTGAAAGGGTGTGCGAACAAGAAGCCGCAGTGTCCTTCCTGACAGGCTCCCCCTGGGGAGCTCAGCGCTGGCCCACAAGGCCTGGCAGGAGGCTTGTTAGTTCAGAGAGAAAAAAGGACTAAATTTTTTCCCACCAACAAACAAAAATGAAAAAAGGATGCTGCCTGCAAAGAGACATGGGAATCTGAAACAGGGGTGGCTGCCCTGTCCTCTCTGCTCATCGGAAAAGCACAGAGCACATCCTCACCCAGAGGTTAAGTAAATCTCTCAAGGTTAAGTCAACTGGTGCTGTGGAACCTGCCAGGGCCAGCACCCTGCTCGGGGTGACAGCAAGTGCTGGGCAAAGGGCGCCCTGGAGCTCCTCACTCCCAAATCCCCGAGTCTTCACTAGGGAGAAACATCAGGCTGTGCGCTGAGGTCATTGTAATGAACATTATACTCAAGGGGACTTAGCGTCCCCGACACAGCCTGCTCCTCTCATAAACGGATACACTGTGGTGGGCAGGAAGGGGGTATGCCTCTCCATTGGATGGAAACTGAGGCAAGGAAGGTTAGGAAGCAGGATCAGAGGGCTGGGATGTGGCAGGGCTGGATGAGCATCCAGGACTTCTGCATCCTGAGCCTCCTCTGCCTTCCTCTCTCCCCTTCTTATCTGGCTCTATCATGTGAATCATGTGGACAGGCGCATTTCTGACACCAGTGGCTCTCTGGCTTTGCCTTTTGCAGGGCACAACTTTCTCAGTGAGCCCTTCTCCTGGGGTTTTTCTTAGGGATGGCAGGCTGAGCCCACAGGTCCCCTCTGCCCTCCATGGGGTGTGGCCACCATCAGCTGGATGGCCCCTGTGCTGGACTCTGCTCTCATGTCCTGTCGGTGCTGGGACCTGAGCAATGTCGGGTCTATCATCTTCCTCCTGCACCACCGGCGGGCTGGAGGTCCTTTCCTTTGTGGTTTTATAGACTTCCAGGATATTATCCAAGGAAGAAAACAATCATGCTCTGTTTAACCTCTCTCCGTCGCCACAGTTCTATCTTTTGACTGCTTGCTTACTTGGCTCTCTGTCCCCCACGAATTCGTGATAGAACCTCATCAATGTCCCTCAAACACACCCCTCCCCAGCCCACCCATCAATTCTCAGAGCCACTACCTTAGCGCATGCTCTCAGGAGAGTTTGCCTGGACTATTGCATAACCTTCCAACGACCCTCCCCGCCCCCAATCCACATAGCACAGGCCGCTGGGATGACCTCTGAGCAGAATGCTTTCCTGTTCAAACAGCTGCACACCAATGAACCCCAACCTTCCCAGTATCATGTCCAAAGTCTCAAAATCTGGCCCAACTCATCCTTCCAGCCCTGCCCTCCCCTGGTGCTGTTCTTGCATTCTAAGTTCTAGATAAGCAAAGACCCTCCTGTTCTGGTTCCTGGTCCTGAACTTGGCTGCCTTGGCTCACCCATCTGCTCTTCCCCTTCCCTGCAGCCCTTCTCCCCTGCTCCCCAAGGCCTTCTGTCCACTTCCTCGTCTGAGTGCTCTGAGCCCAGAGTCCCTTCCTAGACACTGCCACCTGCACCTTTGTAGCCGAGCCATTTGCCTGCGGAGTCTATCTCCCCTGTTGAATTCTAACAAGCAGCTTGGGGTCAGCACCTGTGCATCCTTCCGACTTGGCCCCTCTGAGATGCCCAGCTCAGAGTCTTGATTTACTAATCCTCAACAATTGTTTGTTGAATGAATGAACGATCTGTGCAGTAGGGATATTTTGGTAATAACCCCTCCCAACATGAAAGTGATTAAACAAATTGGTTATTTTTCCATGGGACAGGGACCTTCTCAAGAGACAAGAACCTGTCCCTTCTGAGCGTGGAGCTGGACTGCGGGGCCAGGAAATGTGGGCTTGGATCCCAGGAGCCCTGCTTGTAGCTGTGCCATCTTGAGCATGTTGCTTTGTTTCTCTGAGTCTCTATTTCTTCATCAGTAAACAAAGGCAGTGATACCTCTTCACCATGTCCCCAGGGGATTAACTGATGAAAGTGAAAGGATGCAGTGTAGTAGCTGCCCGTGAAGGGGCAGAAACTGGGTAGGCAGCTCAACCACTGCTCATCCAAGGAGCCCAATGGAACAGCCACTTCTGTCCTTGAGTTTGGTCTCCAGGTACTTCCTCATGACTGTCACCCCTCCCATCTCCACTGCCCGGGTCTGCTCAGCTCAGCCGAACCATGGGACATTGAGTCAACAGAGACAGAACTGCCATTTGGCACCCACCCAGGGGTAGAGCCTACCCCAAGGGTTTGCCTTACCTTGGAAGTGGATGTAGGCATTGAAGAGTAGGGTGCTGTCTGGGCTGCCTCCTGTTAGGGGTCTGTTCATTTTCCACCCTGTCACAGCCTCCATGAACGTGTTGATCTTCTCAGCAGCGAGATCTGGGTCTGTGGCCAAGTCTAGAGAGCGTGGGAGGGTGATGGGGGCAAAGGGAGCCAGGCCCTGCACAAATGGCTGCTTTAGGCTCAGGGTGGGGGCTGTGAACAGGCCCACCACCGTGGATAAGAGCAGCCTGGCTTGGCCGTTAGCCCCACCTTGGGCGACTAGAAGGCCCTGGATGGTCTGCAGAGCAGAGAGGACCTTGTGACCATCCAGCCGGGAGGTGCAGCCTTGATCTTCCCCCGGGACCCCCAGGAACGCCTGTAGTCTGTTGGCCGTGGGGTCCAAGGCTCCCAGGTAGAAAGAGGCCAGGGTGCCAAAGAGAGTTGTTGGGGAGAGGACGGCGCTGCCGGCCATGCTGCACATCTCGCTCAGTGTCTTGTACATGCGGAAGCCCATGAAGTTGAGCAGCATCCCCACCTCCGTAGCCCTCACCCTGTCTTCAGCCTCCAGCTTCTCGGCAGCGAGCACCTGCTGTTCTCGCAGAGCCTCCTCATCCACAGGGGACGTCTTGGCCTGAATCGGGACAGGTGTGAAGGCCGGGTCTTTGGGTGTCTCTGCATTGGACGTCTGCAGCTGGTCACAGCTGCTCTTGCTGTAGACGAGGAGGTGGAAGGGGTGTATGTACACCCGGTCACCAGCGGCCAGACCAGCCCACGCCAAGAAACAGAAGATAGTGGCCCTCAGGCTCACAGCAGCAGGAGCCATCTCTGACGGGGGTGCTCGCTTCTGCGTTCCCTGAAATATCTTGTGAAGGGTGAAAGGTGATTATTAAGTGCCCTCTAGCCAGACTTTAGTTATTCCAGTATTTCCTGCAACAATTTAGCCTAGGAAAAATCCCCCCTTGTCTCCAAACTTCAAAGAGAAGAAAGGATTCAAAGCTCCATGGGAAAGAGCTACGTGATCCAGGTGCAAACACACTGCTATGGGCTGAGTTGTCCTTTTGTAGGGTTTTATTTTGGGGTTGGTTTTGTTTAATTTTTAAAAGAGTGATAACGTCTTAATATTAAGACATTTGTGAATTTTAAGAAAAATGTAAAATTGTCCATTAAATCAAATAAAAATGTGAACAAATATTTTCACAAAATATTGCAAGCACTTTTCTTCAAGAATGAGTGGCTGATATTATTTTTGCCTTATGTTAATTTGTGATATTATGCTTTAGTCAATAATTACATATTTAATAAAAGAGTAATATGGAAACATTTTAACTTACATTTTTTTATTTTATTTATTTAATTTTTTTTTGTGAGACAGATCAGCCCTGAGCTAACATCTGATGCCAATCCTCCTATTTTTGCTGAGGAAGATAGGCCCTGGTCTAACATCTGTGCCCATCTTCCTCTACTTTATATGGGACGCCACCACAGCATGGCTTGACAAGCAGGGCGTCGGTGCGCGCCCGGGATCCGAACCTGCGAACCCTCGGGCCGCCACTGCAGAGCGTGCGCACTTAACCGCTACGCCACCAAGCCAGCCACTTTAACTTATTTTTAGAGGAATACTTTGAGCAATAAAGTATCACAATATTTATGTGAAAATAAAATTTCATGTATTGAAATCCTAATCCCCAGTACCTCAAAATGTGACTGTATTTGGAGCTAGAGTCTTGAAAGGGGTAATTTAGGTTAAATGGGGTCATTAAGGTTGGCCATAATCCAATCTGACTGGTGTCCTTATAAGAAGAAGGGATCAGGACACAGACACAATTAAGGTGAAGACCATGTGAAGACAGGGAGAAGACAGCCGAGGCCAACCCTGCCAACACCTTGAGTTTGGACTTCCAGTCTGCTGAATCACGAGGAAATAGATTTCTGTTGTGTAAGCCACCCAGTCTGGGGTACTTGTTGTGGCAGCCTGAGCAAGTAATACACCCATGTGCCTATGGCTATAAGTTTTCCCCTAGAAAACCAAATGTGGGCCAGACAGCAGGTCTTCGTAGAGGCCTCCTAGCCCCAGGGTAGGTGGTAAACTACGGAATGTAAGACTAACACACACAGAGGTTTGGAATATAAGACTATATAATATAATCTGGAATATAAGACTAACACACACATTTATATTATAAATCGGCCTAGCAAGAAAAAGCCAACTGTGTACCATCACCCAGGAAATGTACACCTCAGATCCCAGCTGAGGTGTGTAACTGATGATAGAGAGCTCATGTTTGTGTTGTAAGTGACAGTTCACAAAAGCCCTTCCCCATAGATTATCCCATCTATTGTTATGCTAATTATGTAAGGAAGGAATTGTTTCACCTCTTTGCAAACACAGAAAGGGGAGTTCTGAGAAGTGAAGAAATGTTCTCAAGATCACACGGCAAGTATGTCAGAGTTGCAATTCGAACCTACTTTTACTCTCACAGGTCATTCTCAGCCCCGGTACCCACTGGCCTCACCTGGGAAGCTTTAGAAACTGTGCCGGTCTGGGTCTCACCACCAGAGATGCTAATTAAATGGCACTGGGGCATGGCCTGGGAATGGGTTTTTAGTCTCCCCCTGGTCCTAGCATACAGCTGGGATTAAGCACCACGGGCTCAGCCTGAAGCCCACGCATTTCCTACCTGTCTCAACACCCAAAATAGCTGGCAGCTATTCCTGCAGAGTGGAACCCGAGGCGCTCTAAATCATCCCTGCCCAGCCTCACCCACTGGCAGCCTGATTTCATTGGTCTGTGCTGGGGCCAGGTATAGATTTTTTAAAAACTTCCCAGGTGACTCTGATGTGCAGCCATGGTTGAGAACCTCTGCCCTAGACGTGGGTCTCTAGGGCTGGGCGGCAGATCTCCAGCACCCTTCTCTCTCTAGAGCTCTGTGATCCTGCTCTGGCCTCACCCTCGCCAATAGCTCACGGAAGTAGCTGGGAGGAGGAGAAGGGTCTAGGTTTGGCCACGCAGACAAACAAGCCTCCTACCTGCTTTGCTGCTCCTGTGCGAAACAGGCTTCACCGCTGAAGGTGAAGCAATTTCATGGATCATTTACAAGGCAGAGGCTGCTGCTTGCTCTCAATTGTGATCAGTTGCAGCTGCCCGGCTGGTTCTAAGTCAGCACACAGCAGGGTCCTGAGAAGAGGGCACCCCAGGTGTGTGGGCCTGACGCCCTCTCTGTGGCTCCCTCCTCCTCCGCCCCTCCTTGCTAGCCCTCTCCATGCGCCCCTCCTTCTAGGTGTCCTGGCTCCTCGTGGCTCTATGGATGACTGACAATGATGAGGATGGCAGCCAACACTCAGGTAATGCCAACACTGCCGGGCCCTGTTCTAGTGCTTCTCCTGTATCCACTCATCTCATCTTCGCCCTCACTTTCCTGCTGAGGCTGCCCCGACACCACATTCCCTGCAGCTGTCCCCGCACTCCTGGCACTCTGCACTCACTTGTCCCGCTCCACTTTCCTTCAGCTGGCACTGATCACCTCGTAACACTCCGTACCCATTCTTGATGTATTTCTTTATTTCGTGTGGTGTTTGTTGCCTGTCTTTTCCCATGTGAATGCCAACCCCAGAGAGCGGGGTTCTTGCCCTGTTTCGCTTGCTGATTTATACCACATTCCCCAAAACGTGCCTGGGACATAGCAGGCACTTGATAAGCAGTTGTTAAATGAATTAACTCATGTTGTTTTGCAGAGGAACAGAGAGCTTCAGTGACTTGCTCAAGGTCACACAGCTAGTAAGAGACAGAAGGATTCAAATCTAGACACCCTGACACCAGAGTCCACACACTGAAGCAAGCACCAATCTATATTGCCTCTTGAACAAAATAATAAGAATTTGCCTTTTTATTTTATCCTAAAGTCTAGAAAGTACTTTCACGTTATATTTGCTCTCTTAATTCACAGCATAGTCAGTGAGCAAGGGAGGCCAGGCATTGCTATTAGTCCTGTTTTATAGATGAGCAAACAGAGGCTCAGGGAGACAAAGTGATGAGCTCGATTGCACAGACCCAGGCCTTGAGCCCAGGACTGGAGACATTGCTGCCTCAAGGGAGGTTCAGGGAGATGGAGGCCACCTCTCACCCGAGGCCCATGGGGACGCAGCCCTGGGCTGAGCCTGGCCCCTCACCCCCAGCTCCGCTGCGTACACAAGCCTTGCTGTTCCTTCTGGCTGGAAGACGACCTAGTGGACTCTTGGCCACCATGACTACGCTCTGGTGCCAGCCCCTGAGGGCCCAGCCCACTCAGAGGGAGCAGGAGGACCTGGCCACCCTGCCCTACTGCTGAGGAGGAGCAGCTCCTCTGGGGAGACCCGGGGGCTGAGGGCGAGGACAGCTCATATCTGGATGTCTGCTGTGGCAGGAGGGGGAGACATCTTCTGAGTCTTCAGTAGTCATGTCCCCTGTGGCACAGGTCACCCCGGACCCCCAACTTCTGGCTCCTGGGTGCCTTTTAGCCACTGCCTTCCAGCAGCTCTCCCGGACCTCCCCTCACAGCCCCGGACTTCTACCCTCAGCAGACAACTCAGCTGCCCTGAGAGAGACTGGGAAGGGGCAGGAGCTGGGGAGGGGTGTGTGTAGAGAGGGGGTCCCAGCTTACCTTCTGTTCAGTCCCCAAGATAAGGGCAGCCTCTTCCCCTGGCCAGGCCACTGAGGCCCTATTTATATCTGAGGGGTGGGGATGGAGCCGTTCCCAGATCATTCCGTGCCCAGGCTAGGGGGAGGGAGTTAGTTACATCACTTGGCGGGGGCCATGGGGGTGGGGACCTCAGGCAGCCAGGCCTGACTAGGGGGACAGAAGCCAGAGCGACTCTCATGCTGGGACTCCTTCCAGGAAGTCAGGGTGATTGATACAAGCTTTACTGCTGAACAGAGTGAACCAGGACACGGTCAAGTTACACATTTACTGAAGTTTACCCGAGCTGGGCCGCGGTTACCAGACAAAGAAGTGTCCCACAGAGATGTGTGATGTGTCTCTGCCCCGAGGCGTGATGGTCCAAGGCCAGCCACCCAAGCCTTCCGATTGAGCCCCCTCTGGTGTGCTTCTGAGCAGCCCCAAGAATGTGCACACTCATGGGGCCCAGGGAGCAGGGGAGAGAGCAGTGCTCAGGCGGCCTGGGGGGAACTTCCGACCCTATGGCCTTGAGAGACCCAGTGGTTGTCCAAATATTAGGCGCCTACTCCATGCGAGGCCCTCTGACAGGCATGGGGAGAAACACACCAAGCCAAAGCACCTTCTAGAGGCTTGTGACTTAGCTGGGGAGACTGTTATACGCTAGCAGTAGTACAGCTGGAAGGAAAGGCCCCAACAAAATGCTTTCAGATCGTGGGAAGGAATAATCTGTTAAAGCTTGGGAAGTTTTCGAGGAGAAATGTCATTTGGGTCAAACCTTGAAGGATAAATAAGTTGGATGTAGAAGTTGAGGGATTTTTAGAGGTAGAGGCTTATATGATGGCAACAAAGAGGTGGAAAAGCGTGGGGCTTGTCTCCGGGACACCAGCAGGCCCAGGTGCAAGAAGGGAGGGCAGTGATGGCAGCAAAATTGCCACTGCTCCCTGTGCCCCCAGGCACTGTGAGGGTCCTCAGTCCTTCCTGCTGGGTCCCCGGGACACAGAGCTTCAGGCCAAACTCGCCAGGAATTGGAGGTGACACACAAGATGAAACCTGCTTGCCACCCAGATTTGGGGTGTGTGAAGTGAGTGATCTGGAAAGGAAGGACACTGGTTAGAGCCGGAACACCACGCTCGGATGTAAAAGTCGATACCACAAGAGGGAAGGACTGAAAATATCTGAGAAGGGGACTGACATGATGCTTGACTTCTGT